ACAGAACAACCTGCTGCAGATCCAACTATAGAACAACCTATGGACCCTATTGAAGCTACAACTACAGAACAACCTGCTGCAGATCCAACTATAGAACAACCTATGGACCCCATTGAAGCTTCAACTACAGAACAACCTGCTGCAGATTCAACTATAGAACAACCTATGGACCCCATTGAAGCTTCAACTACAGAACAGCCTATTGAAGATGCAGTTACAGAACAGCCTATTGAAGATGCAGTTACAGAACAGCCTATTGAAGATTCAGCTACAGAACAACCTGCTGCAGATCCAACTATAGAACAACCTATGGACCCTATTGAAGCTACAACTACAGAACAACCTGCTGCAGATCCAACTATAGAACAACCCATTGAAGATGTGGTATATAATGAGGATCTGTTGTAAAGATCTTTAAAGGAAAGAGTTGTGAGATTTTTTTTAATATATTTTTTATTGGAGGTTTTACTATGATTTATGATATTGATTTTACGAATACTGGTTTCTTTGACAACACAGGAATGGATTCTTCCTATACTGGAGGTATATTTGATGCACGCATAGGATCTGGTTCATCACCACCATCTAGCAGCTACGATGAAAACGTAAACACATCATCTGGAGATGAAATGGAAGATTAGTATGTCTGATATACGGACATAGATAATACTACAGAATTACCTGCTACCTATTGATATATAATTATATTATATGTTAAATTAAATCTACAAAGACTGTATAGTTGCAGTCTTTGTCCTCTTTTAATTTTATTGTTTTGTATATTAATATAAAATTTATTATTTTAGTATAAAATCACACAATTATTTATCATCATAGGTTTTATTATGAGTATTGAATCTTTCTGTAAAAACCTTGGAAGAGATTGTGAAGTTTTTAGCAAGGGTTTGTTATATGGTTTTCAATATGGGGTTACAGAATCCAAAAAGTTGGAACACAATAATGATGTCAGCATCTACAGGTTAGAAGAATCACCTAAACTCGCAGATAACGCTGTATACGCTGAAACTGCTATTGATCCTACAACTTATATACAAAATGAAGATCTTCATTTGATGCAAGCAACTCAATATACCTTATCGGTATAAACATTGGAGGTTTTACTATGGGTATTGCATCTTTTTTTGAAGAGCGTGGCAGAGAATTTTTAAATCTTAGTAAGTTGATAAGGTTTAAACGCGGAACTGAGGAGCTATATAGCACTACTTCTCCTTCAGTAGGTGGTTCTATTGAAAATACAACAACCGCAGTTCCTGCAGCAGATATATCAGAATGCTCTGCAGATTATACCACACCCGAAGCTTACATTAATACAATATAAATTAAGTTTACAAAGACTGTGTAACTACAGTCTTTTTATTCTTTACTTATATCTTACCTTAAGAAAATTCTCTATAATATAGAGTATAGTATTAACCAAATATTTTGGTGGGCAAAATTTTTTCTATCAGCACAGACGACTCCTTTTTTTGATGTGCTAGCACAACATGTATTTTCTGAGTATAGCTCAGAAGAAATATCTGAATTGAAGATAATCACTCCTTGCAAAGCAGATGTAATAGCACTACTAAATGCATTCAAAAATTGCAATTCTAAAGGGTGTATAATTTTACCAGAGATTATCTCATTGGAAAATATCGATGAAGAAGATTTAATATTAAACCTTGATAAAATTGAAGTAATCAACCCTACAAAGCGAATACTTTTGCTGATTGAGTTTATATTAAAGTGGAACGAGGAGAATAATGATAACTTTCCCATCGATCTAGCTTATGATCTTTCATCACTACTTAATACAATTCAAACAATGGGATCCTGTGAATATCCACAAAAAGCCGAGAATTTCATAGAGTTACTACTAGAAAATTGGAGTAAAACTTTAAAAGATTTAGGGGTAATGGACATATTGGAACATAAGAATAATTACATAAACAATATGGTGCTCTCATTACAGGAGAATCAGCGTATTATTTTTGTTGGCATTGGAAAAAATGAAATCTGTAAGTCCTTAATCAAAGCAATATATCATTTACCACATGGTAAAGTAATCTTACCTAATCTTAATTTAAAAATTAAAGAAAAAGATTGGCAATCGCTTGATAAAAAACATTATCAATATTGCCTGAAAAGCTTATTGGATTATCTAGACACAAGCAGAAATAATATCGAATTTTTGGGCACAGAATCCGACAAAATGATTGATTATGCTTTTGATACTACAGCTGATCTAAGCAAAGTTAGTAATCAAAACACATATGATAAAGTTGAAATTATAACTTGCGACTCTGAGGAAGAAGAGGCTCAGGTGATTTCATTAATTATAAAAAATGAAGGCTCTGAAAATGTGTCATTTTTTATCAGTAATCAACTGCTTGCAACGCGTGTAGCATGCCTACTTGAACAAGATAATATAGAAGATTATCCATATATAACACTTTTGCTTTATAGTATTGAAGTATTAACCTCAAACTGGAACAGTGTCGAACTACTTTCACTTCTTAAACACACGCTAGTGACCTTTGGTTATACTAGAAAAGAATATAGTAAAATACTATCGGAGTTTGAAATAGAAATATTGCGTAATTTCAGCATAAGCGATCTTGAAGGGGTTTTAAATATTGTCAACAAACATAAAAAAGTAAAATATAAAGAAGATATATTGATGATTATCAATAAGTTAAAGGAAATATATAATCCTTTACTTGATATGATGAATTGTGCTATTTTCGAAGTAGCTAAGGCACATTTACAATGCGTTGATACGCTATCTGATTCGCATTGTAATAATGAGTTTATGACTCATTTTCTTATTGCATGTAAAGATATAAAAATAAAATGCTCCTTAGAATTATATAGAAAAATATTCACTCTATTTCTTACAAAGTACCTTTCTCCGAAGGCAAATAACCTAAGCTTACATAAAAATAAGGTTGTAATACTTACAGACTTCAATGAAGCACCTAAAAATTCATTTTTAAACTCACTCATGGGAGATGTACAAGAAGAGCAAGGATATTTTCTATATACCTTATATAATTTATTCTGCGCACGTAAGATCTATGTTACAAGGTCACTAAATCATAGAAAATCAATTCTGTTACAACGCATTGAGATGCTGTTTCAGACAAAACAGCCTTATAGAGATTGGCTAAAAAATGCTAAATACGCCTGAGTATGTGCTACCCTGCATGCAGCCTATACCAATGCCAAAAGCTGAAGTGAGAAAGAAAAAAATGCAAACAATATCTTGCAGTGCAGTAGAAAAATTAATCCGTAATCCTTATTCATTTTACGTTGAACACATACTCAATCTTAAAAAATTGCGAGACCTCAACTTTAAACCATCAATATTAGAGTTTGGCATCTTAGCACATAATATCTTCGAACAATACTCACGCAATAAAGATAATGATTGTATGAATATTGCAAAAAAAGAGTTTTTTTCTAGTCATTTTAACTTCTCAAATATGTGGTGGATAAGGCTACAAAAAATCATTCTGTCTTTTGTTGAACTTGATAAAACTAGAAGTCAGTGTATTGAAGCAGAAAAAAGCTTTTCTCTTTCCATTTTAGAAGAAATTTCACTGACAGCAAAATGTGATAGAGTTGAACATTTACCAGATAATCAAGCAGCAATTATAGATTATAAATTTGGCTCACCACCTTCTAATGATGAAGTTATGTCGGGATTTTTTCCGCAATTAATTTTGCAAGCCTTGGGAGTGGAATATACAACTAAGAAAAAAGTCTCAGAACTTGCTTACTGGAAGTTCGATTATGATCAAGTAAGTATCACCTCCTTACAAGGCTATAGAGAAAAAATGCAAGAATTTCAGGATGTTTTACCTATTTTCTTATCTAATTATTTAAGTGAAAATACCCCATTTATTGCATCTCCATATCTGGACAAATTCTTAAGATTCAACAGTTATGCACATTTAGAAAGGATCAAGGAGTGGTTGTAAAGTCAACTATAGCTTTAACTATAGCCTTATTAGTTTTTATCATAATACGGTCAAAAATTCCCAACACTCTTTTTAATAAATTTGGAGTTAATGAAGATATAAAGTTAACAAATACATTGCTGTTTTTGTCATCTCCATTGGCTTTATAATCTATCGCCACCACTCCCCTACTCTTTCCGCCGGTAAGAACCTTTCCGATTATAGGTATCTTAGACAAAAACTTATTAACTGAATATGCTGGTATTACCTGTCCTGTTACCTGAAATTTATTATTTCGAACGTTCAGTTTACCATTAGCTGTAATACCCAATTCTGCTCCTTCTAACCAAGATTCTTCGATTGCAATGATATCATTGCTGTATGAAAAAGGCACATTACACTTATAAAAATATATACCTTCTCTGTTAATGGCGTTTACAATGCCAGGTAGTGAAGATAGTGAAAGTAAAGTAGTAAGTAACGATGCATCTTTAATGTAAAAATTACTAATAGAAACCATACCATAGTGTTTTTTATCCTCTCTTTGAGTAGATAAATAAAAAGATATTTTTCCACCTCTAACTGATTGATTAATACCCAAAGAACGTAAGAGCATTCCTGCATTATTTGCATAAACTTCAAGCCCTATTCCACTGTATTCTGCTAATATACTGCTACCGTCTAAAAACTTTCCTGTAAATTGACTGCCACTGCAATCACCTTGGGTGCAGGTTAAATTCAATTGAGCATTGTTAATGATGATGCCACCTTTCATAATCATATTATCAATATCCATTTTAACTTCTATGTTTCTCTCTGACTCACTATCACTTTTAGCAAGCAACTCTAAAATGTCACTGAAGTTAATCTTCTCACCATAAATCATCACAGAACTTTTCTGCTTATTTGATTTAACCTCCATATTAAAATCATTATCAGGTAAATTAAAGTTACTAGAGTTTAAATATAAATTTCCATCTTCTACCTTTCCACTAAGTCTGATATTCAAATTATTTCCTGTCACATCTATCTTATCTAATGATAGTTTATCATCACCTTTCAATCCTATAGACAATGTAATTTTATTATGATCTTCAAAGCGATTTTTCCACCCTAGATAACTTGAACGCAAGATTAAATCTGATAAATCTATACCACCATTAATAGATCCTGTGTCATCTGAATTTACTACTGATTCTACATCTATATTAACATAACCATCCGCATTTATTATCTGAGCTGGAAAATCCCCAGTAAATTTGCAAGTGTGATTTTTATTACGCTCCTTACAGTCAAACAGTAGCTGCTTATTATTCACCAACCCACCACTATTTAAGTCTAAAAAATCGCTACCAAATTTAAGATCAACATTATATTTGCCAATGTCTGATTTATAAATGATTAAATCGTCAATTTTAGAATGGATATGGCCTAAAAAATCTACTT